TTTGGGGTCTCCTTTTTGCAGGCTGCAGGTTCGTAGTTCCTGTTGTTTTTGGTGTCTGTCTCCAGTGGCTAAGGTTGGTTCAGTGGGTTGTGTAGGCTTCCTGGTGGAGGGGACTAGTGCCTGTGTTCTGGTGGATGAGGCTGGATCTTGTCTTTCTGGTGGGCAGGTCCACGTCTGGTGGTGTGTTTTGGGGTGTCTGTGGACTTATTATGATTTTCGGCAGCTTCTCTGCTAATGGGTGGGGTTTTGTTCCTGTCTTGCTAGTTGTTTGGCATAGGATGTCCAGCACTGTAGCTTGCTGGTCATTGAGTGAAGCTGGGTGCTGGCGTTGAGATGGAGATCTCTGGGAGATTTTTGCCGTTTGATATTGTGTGGAGCTGGGAGGTCTCTTGTGGACCAGTGTCCTGAAGTTGGCTCTCCCACCTCAGAGGCACAGCACTGACTCCTGGCTGCAGCACCAAGAGCCTTTTATCCACATGGCTCAGAATAAAAGGGAGAAAAAGTAAAAAGAAAGAATTAGTAGAAGAAAGAAAGAAAGGAGGGAGGAAGGAGGGAAGGGAGGAAAAAAAGAAAGAAAGAAGATAAAGTAAAATAAAATAAAGATAAAATATAATAAAGTTATTAAAATAAAATAATTATTAAGAGAAAAAGAAAAAACGGATAGAACCCTAAGACAAATGGTGGAAGCAAAGCTATACAGACAAAATCTCACACAGAAGCATGCACATACACACTCACAAAAAGAGGAAAAGGGGGAAAAATCATAAATCTTGCTCTCAAAGTCCACCTCCTGAATTTGGGATGATTCGTTGTCTATTCATGTATTCCACAGATGCAGGGTACATCAAGTTGATTGTGGAGCTTTAATCCGCTGCTTCTGAGGCTGCTGGGAGAGATTTCCCTTTCTCTTCTTTGTTCTCACAGCTCCCAGGGGCTCAGCTTTGGATTTGGCCCCGCCTCTGCATGTAGGTCGCTGGAGGGCGTCTGTTCTTCGCTCAGGAGGGGGTTAAAGCCGCTGACTCGGGGGCTCTGGCTCACTAAGGCCGCGGGGGAGGGAGGGGCACGGAGTGCGGGGTGAGCCTGCAGCGGCAGAGGCCGGAGTGACGTTGCACCAGCCTGAGGCACGCCGTGCGTTCTCCCGGGGGAGTTGTCCCTGGATCCCGGGACCCTGGCAGTGGTGGGCTGCACAGGCTCCCCGGAAGGGGGATGTGGAGAGTGACCTGTGCTCGCACACAGGCTTCTTGGTGGCAGCAGCAGCCTTAGCGTCTCATGCCCGTCTCTGGGGTCCACGCTTTTAGCCGCGGCTCGCGCCCGTCTCTGGAGCTCCTTTAAGCAGCGCTCTTAATCCCCTCTCCTCGCGCACCAGGAAACAAAGAGGGAAGAAAAAGTCTCTTGCCTCTAAGGCAGGTCCAGACTTTTTCCCGGACTCCCTCCTGGCTAGCCGTGGCGCACTAACCCGCTGCAGGCTGTGTCCACGCCGCCAGCACCAGTCCTCTCCCTGCGCTCCGACTGAAGCACGAGCCTCAGTTCCCAGCCCCGCCCGCCCCGGCCGGGGAGCAGGCAAGCCTCTCGGGCTGGTGAGTGCCGGTCGGCACCTATCCTCTGTGCGGGAATCTATTCGCTTTGCCCTCCTCACCCGTTGCTGCGCTCTCCTCCACGGCTCCAAAGCTTTCCCCCTCCGCCACCCGCAGTCTCTGCCCGCGAGGGGGCTTCCTAGTGTGTGGAAACCTTTCCTCCTTCACAGCTCCCTCCCGCTGGTGCAGGTCCCGTCCCTATTCTTCTATCTCTGTTTATTCTTTTTTCTTTTGCCCTACCCAGGTATGTGGGGGGTTTCTTGCCTTTTGGGAGGTCTGAGATCTTCTGCCAGCGTTCAGTAGGTGTTCTGTAGGAGTTGTTCTACGTGTAGATGTATTTCTGGTGTATCTGTGGGGAGGAAGGTGATCTCCGCGTCTTACTCTTCCGCCATCTTCCAGGCACTACTAGTTTATTGACAACTACTCTTAGTGCAGTTACTCCATATAGCAACCACTACATAGTTTATAAAGGAGTTTTTCAGATTTTATGTTATTGGATGCTAACAACTACCTTTTGAGATAGAGAGGACAGAATTTATAATCCTTACATTACAGAAGAAGCTGAGGATCAGAGATACACTCACTTGTTTTAGTCCGCATACCAAGTAAGTTATGGAGTTGAATTTGTGGCCAGGTCTTCTGACTTTAATTGACTTCTGCAGAATCTAAAAGGTACAGGAAAAAGGATAAATTTCTATTTGTTGTTAAAGCAGGGACTGTCCAGTTTAGCTTTATGTTTTCCTCAGAATATAATGCAGTGCCTGACACACAGTAAATGATCAATAATTTTTACTGAGTAAGTGGATAGAGGATTACGTAGGTATCCATGGGGCCCAGGTTTAAACTGGTAGTATTGGTACTCAGTTCTTCGGTGATTCCCGTTTATTGCAGCGATGCTTCAAATTATAGATAAGTTCAGTTTGTAAATGTTGTAACCGTAGAAAGGGACTTCATGTCAGTCCAGAAAGTCTCATATTAATTGGTGTGGTTCATTTACAATTGAAGTAGCAATAAGCATGGTTATAAGCATGCCTATATAATGTGATGGGGGGAATAGACTACACTTGTTTGTTTATAGAAAATTTTGGTAACATTTTTTTCCACTCTCCTTTTTTTTCTTTTTAATTTTTATTGGAGTATAGTTGCTTTACAATGTTGTGTTAGTTTCTACTGTACAGCAAAATGAATCAGCTATACACATACTCTGTTTTGGATTTCCTTCCAATTTAGGTCACCATCCACTCTCCTTTTTTTTTCTTTTTTTTTTTTTTTTTTTTGTGGTACGCGGGCCTCTCACTGCTGTGGCCGCTCCCGTTGCGGAGCACAGGCTCTGGACGCGCAGGTTCAGCGGCCATGGCTCACGGGCCCAGCCGCTCCGCGGCATGTGGGATCCACCTGGACCGGCGCACGAAACCGTGCCCCCCGCCTCGGCAGGCGGACTCTCAACCACTGCGCCACCAGGGAAGCCCCACTCTCCTTTTTTAATCACTGTTCTGTAGCTTTAAATAAGCAGTAGCAGAGTCCCTTTTCTCCCTAATTACTATGTTGCATTCAGCTGCTTAACACATACTTCCTGCTCCCAGGATCCCCAGAGGCAGCTCTAGTGTTTGGTGAGGATATTGAATTTCATTGAAAGATTTTCTCCAGATAGTTTCTTCCAGTAGTGAGAGAGGCTGGTTGGCCTCAACCACCTTGCTCAAACCTGTCACAGTCTTAAAGTTATTTCAAAGCCTTTTATAATCAAGGTCCACCTACCTTTCCATCTGATCTAAATTAACTACCTCCCATCCCCTTTCCAATACCTCCCACCCACTATGATTCAAATTAAGAGTTTTCTGAGGGAAACCATTTAGTAACATAAAATTTTCATACCCTACCCTTTAAAGAAACTGAAATAGTCATCTTCCAGTGGAAGTTCTTTCTATTATGTATTCTTCTTTTCATTCTCTAGCTATAGGTACACTGTACACGAGGTATGATATTTCAATTAGACATTTCCTGCTGCTTCCTTCTTTGGCCATGTGTTTCCATAAATCATAGATCGATTCGCTACTGCTTATGTTAATATTGTGAGGGTCACTTATAAGCTTTCCTCTCACCTTTTTAAGTATCTGTTTTCTGTTGAAATCAGTAGAAGAGGCTACTGATTATGGCTGTTTTTTCCAGTTGTGCCACCAGATATTTGTTTTTCAATTGTTTCCTAACTATCTCCTTTCTCTTTGCACTGTGGCTTTGAATTCTACAGTACCTGACATAAAGAAAGCCCTAGGGAAGTTCCCTTTTCTTTCATTTCTTTTTATTGCATAGATAAAATCCCTATATAAATGGTTTTGTAAAATGAAGTCCTTCCCACAACTTAGTGTTTGGTCCATGGAAAAATTACCTTGGTAGTCAATTTTCGTTCTTTTTTAAATTCAGTTTTATTTTATTGTGGTAAGAACACTTAAATGAGATCTGCTCTCAACAGATTCTTATGTGTCTAATAAGGCTGTTGTTATCTATAAGGCACAATGTTGTACATCAGATTTCCATAACTTCCATCTTGCATAACTGAAATTTTATCCTTGTTTAAAATAATCACGCATTGAAGTGAAGAATAGAATGGTAATTGCCGGGGGCTAGGAAAAGGGGGAAATGGGTAGTTGCTAATCAATAGGTTATCAGTTATCTATAGTGAATAAAACTTGGCAATCACTGTACCCAAGGATGTGGTTATTTGTACTTGAGGTATAAAAGGAAAGAAGAGTGAATTTGGTGATTTAGTCCTGTCATGAAGCATAAGTTACCTTTTTAGTTCCCAGGTTTTCTGCCAACGCCTACAGTACTGCCCCCTCAATTCAAACTAGGGAAAAAAAAAAAATGAACTCCCAAGGTCATTTCTTCCAAAGCACCACCATCCACAAACTCTCCTGACGTTAGGAGAAGTATTGAGGGGATGGTTTGCTTAAGAATCTCTCTCCTACTAAATAAGGAACCGTTCGTTTGCCGATTAGTTTAAAGCATAGCTTCTTCTAAGCAGGAAAGTCAAGATTTGGGGCCTCTGAATGCCACCAACAGAATCAAAATCAAATGTGAGCAGAAGTACATCTTAAAAGAATCAGCATTATTTTTTCACTGAGCTCAGTATAGATCTTTCTTTTTATATTCACCTAACCATGTTGATCATTGTGTTTGTATTTTTAGTCCTGCCTGGTCTGAGTGGGCAACTCTCGGTACTCTTGACCTCTGTTGGTGATACTAATCATTTACCTTGCCCATGACTAGCCACCAGCTACATCACAGTCTTAACTTCCCCGCCTCCTACCCCCCCACTCCCCAACCCCCACCCTTGCCACATGGCCTTTCCTTTCTCCTTCTCCTCTTCTCTAATCCCTTTCCTTCTTCTTCACCCCTATCTCCTTTACAACTCCTCCATGATTTTCTTAGGGCTGGGCTTCAACATCGTCGGTGGCACAGATCAGCAGTATGTCTCCAATGACAGTGGCATCTTCGTCAGCCGCATCAAAGAGAACGGGGCTGCAGCCCTGGATGGGCGGCTCCAGGAGGGTGATAAGATCCTCTCGGTGAGAACTGGCTTCCACCTCCTTCACTGTCCCTGGCTCCCTAGACCCTAGTCCCTACGCCCAACTCCTTCCTTGGGAAGATTCCTGCCTGCCCTTTTGGATCAGGAAATACAGTAAGGAAAACTTGAGAATGGGTTAAGATTAACGTATAGTATGTAGTTAGAAACTATGCAGTTTAATATTTTGACAGATAACTGCATTCTCTCCAGAACACTGGGAACTAGGTTCCATGGTGAAGAAGGACTTGAAAAATACAGGGGTTAAGAAGAGAGCCATATTACTCAAAAAGTTTTGGTTAAATGTAAATTATTGAAAAATGAGAATGGTTAGAAAGTTTTGAGCACTCTGTGCCAAGCAGTATGCTGAGAACTTTAAACTTATTTAATATTGTAGCAACCCTATGAAGTGGTACAATTATTATGCCTGTTTTGCAGCTAAGGAAGCTGAGGCTTGGTGAGGTCAAACAGCTTGCTCAAGGTCATTCAACTAGTGTATGGCAGAGGACTTGGTCTGTGAATTTGGAACCTCTACTCTTAACCCATATACTATATTGCCTCCTAAAAGATAAGTGAGGAGCTAGGGTTCGTTATCCTAAACAGAAAGTTGCATGGTTATTTAATAATAGAGTTTATGTATGGTTCTGTATAAAAACTGAAATTAGTCTTTTCTATTAAGGGTAGAATTAGGGAACAAAAAGACATAAACCTCAGTGTGAGAGAATTTATTAGACACAAGCCAAGATAAGGAGCCTTTCTTATGTGAGCCATCACCTCAGAGAGAAAAGAAATTATTTGAAGGCCACTCAAGTTTCTTAAAAAGGTATGGTAGGAGATAAATGTTAATGAAAAGAAAAGTAGATATCTAAGAAACTGAGCTCATTTGTCTTTAAAATTTTTAGCGAAGAGGACTTGACTATCAAAATAAAAGAATTATTACAAAGATCTCTACAAGATATAAAACACTACAAATATATGTAGGACATTGATTCAAGGTTATGTTCTAGCCAATTAAGGAAAAAGTATGTGAAAGAAGAGAGGAAGAAATGCCAGGCAAAGAAAAGGCAAAAATATAAGACAGGTAACGGAGAGGAAAAAAAGACGACAGAAAGAGAAAAAGATGGAGCTTATGCAAGAGGAAAAGGCCAGCATATTCTCTATTCTATCTAGGGCTATATTCCCTGACTCCAGTTTCCCTGCCAAGAGTTTGCTCCAAAATTCAAATTCTAGATCCTGTTTCTTAAGAAATATTGCCTCACCATCCTATTCCCACTGTATCCTTAAGTGAACTTGTTAGGTATTAACCATTAAATTGTTCCATCTATTCTTGAGCTCACTTTATCTCTTTGATGTACTTAAGTACTCACTTATAATTGGCTTTGGAATCTCTGTAAAATGATGCTAAATTATTTATTAGCCTATATTCTCATTCTTTACGGGATTCCCTAGTTTCCTCACATGGTTATTTTTCCATGTTGTAAAATTTGCTCCAACTCTTTCTTTTAACTGTTGCCAGATAATCAGACTAATAATATGTCCTTTCCTTAGTGCATATCCATTTTGGGTAACTAATAGAAGTATCATTAAGTGGTCTAGATTTCAGGTGAGTTATTAATGGCTATTAATTTAATCTTTCCATTTCTCCCTAAGTAATGCCCATGTTTTATCTTAATTTCAAGTTCTAAAATTAAATAACTGCATGATTTATCATGCAGTTTCTCCTTTCTCATCAAAAGTGAAATTTAATTTTTTGTGATCACTGTGGATGAATGTAAATGATTTTTAAGACCCTGTTGTATCTGACAACCATGAAACAAAAACAGATATTACCAATAGAAGAAAAGATCTGAAGTTGAGATGAGGGTTGGAGAGTCCTTACCCAAAGTTCATTTGTATGTGTGTGTGATGGTGAGAATGCTTTAATATTTATATAGGCTATCAGAGAACCTGGGAAAATTATATTTTTGTAAAAAAATAAACTATGTAGGTTTCTCATTTCTCCTGTGTGTCTACCTAAATGAAGGGAGGTAGATAGTCAAGAATAGTCAATTCTCAGTGAACTCTACATGTTTAATGAAACTTATAACTTCAGGGTGATGTAGCTGATTATAGGATACAGATTAATGTTCCATTTTGACCAAACCTGTTATATAACAGAATGGCATGGATTGGGCCATTAGTCAGCTGCATTTCCTATTCTCTTCAAACAGAATTCTTACTTTGGTGAATAAAAGAGTTGAGTAGTCATCAACATATATTAACTATTGTATTTGATGGCCTGCAGAGCACTGCCAGGTGCCATGGAAAATTAAAAGAAAATGAAAGACCAGTCTGTGGTCTTAGATCAATGGGGAAGACCCACCAGAAACCCTCATCCAATCAGCTACAGAGACATTGAAATATACAGAATCCTTTAGACCAAGTACCTTTAAGGAAGAGTCTTTGTCTTCTCATCTTTATCTGCAGCATGTAGGCCTGTAGCTGGAACAGAGTAAGCATCTAGTAAATTATTTGCTCTGTGAATGAATTATAACTTTTTTGGTTTGGCTTGATTAATTGGAGCTAGATAATCTATTTTTTTTCTTCCTTCAACTTTAATGGAAAGAGAGGACCCCTCCCCCCAAATTGTAATTCACTTCAAGATTTTGGGGGAAAATGAAAATATCCAGAGTATAATCTGAGGTCAGTGCTTATTAAATTGAGCCCATTCTTTCTATATTTTATACACCTGTATTTGTATTATCCTATATAGTTAGTGCTCCAGTAACTCTTACATTATCCTAAGATAATGTTAGATTATCCTAAGGCAATCCAAAATTATTTATCATCCAAGAAAACATATTTTAACTCAGTTTACTCCTTTCCTAAGGCAAGAAATAGGAAACTCATAGATTGATAACAACCACAGTTAAAGCAAAAAATTGTATGACTCCCCATCAGTTAACTAGAATACCACAATCCCAACACTCTGAACATTCGGTTAACAAAATTTTCTAGCATGTTGCAAATCTGTCATATCTCAAGTTTAATATAACTTATAATATCATGAGTTAAGGAAACTGAAGTAGCAAGTTTAGCAGTATTCTAAAATTTCTCAGTTGAATGAATAGCTCTTGATAGTAAAAGTGAGGTCCAAGGAATCTGGCCTTCGCCTGGGAGCTGATTACAAATGCAGAGTCTCAGGAAGCTCCTCAGACCCAGACCCACTCAGATAAAAATCTGCATTATAACAGATCCTTGGGTAAGCCCATGAATAAAGTTTGAGAAGCACTGCTGTAGGCAAGTGTCTTTCAGACATTTTGAATTATGACCCATAATAGGAAATACATGCACACACACATAACTGAAGCAAAGTTTAACAAAATAATACCTATTTCTTCTATATATGATGCATTCTAATATTTTGTGTTTTCTTCTAATTTCACTTACTTAAAATTAAATACTGGTCTTGACCCACTGGATTGACTTCACTATCTTTTGGAATGGGTCAACAGACTTATATTTGAAAAATCACTACTCAGTAAATGGAAAATCACTGATGGAATCTGTGGATTAAGTAGGCTGGGTGTGGAGAAGACTCAGGCAGTTTAGGTTAAAGCTAACTCAAACTTCACCAGATTGCTAGGATGGGACCTAATAATTTGCACTTTTAACAAGTTCCCAAGTTAATGCTGCTGGTCCTGGGACCATACTTTGAGAACCTCTGGTCTATATTAGTAAGGATGGTGATAAAGAGAAAGTGGATTCCACATATATTTAGGGGTAAAAATCTACAGAACTTGGAGGTTAGTCAGTATGAGCTGGAATCTGTAAAAGCAGTTAGAGGAGGTAAATATTGGAAAGCAAATTTGGCTTTGGAGTAGAGAGATATATTGTCAATTGAAAAAGAATCATCATTTGTTTTATAGAGCTGGTTTACCTCCAGCATACTTGGACAAAGGATGAGAAATGGTTCTTTAAAAAAGAAACTCCCTTTGCATTTCTAAAAGGCCTCTTTTTTTTTTTTTTTTTTAAGCAATTAGAGTAACTGACCTCATACATTAGGATACCTTTAGAATTAACTAGGAGGGTTGAAAGGTATAATTGGCCTGTGCTCCTTTGCCTGATGTCACCCAATGTCTTTCTTCCCTGCTAGCAAAAGTAAACTCACATGAGGACCAAGATTACACACTGAGTCATTGGCAGCTAGAGCTGCTATTAGAGTCTAGGCCTTTCAGCTTTGTGTAATATCAATAAATGTCACCCAGGCTTTGTGTAGTTATGGCTTTTGCAGAGTATACTCTGCAGCCAAACCTCAGGAAATCGTGTGGCATTTATTATCCTCAAATGTTGTTCAGAGCAGTATTCAGGTACTATAGGGGTGATAATGATGAGTTGAGATCCAGCCTAAGTTATTTACAGTCCAACGTAAAGTGTTACAAGACAGTTCAGTTTGAGCTTTAAGATAGTTACATAGTATGGAGATTCAGGAAGTAACTCATTCACATCTAGTGCAGTTATCTAGAAAGGCCTTGTCAATGAAGTGGCACTTAACTAAATTGCTTTTTTAATGTGAATGCCACTTCAATATATAAAATGAATAAAAATACTAACATATAAACACCATGTGTCTTCATACAACTCTAAATTTTTTTAAACGTATAGTATAACACATAAAACTGAAACTCCAAAACCAATAAAAATTTAATTTACAACATTAATGTGATGGATAGTGATAGGCTGCAGAAATAAAATTCTTGCTTACAATGTAAATTTCTAAAGTTTAGTGTTGTTAGTGAAGGTTTGGGGGCTGGGCTGCTTGAGTTTGAATCCTAGCTTTGCTCCCTCCATTCTGTATGTCCATGGAAAGGTTGCATAGCCTCTCTAGTTTTATTACTTATAAAATGGGGTTCCAAACTTATAGGACTATTGTGAAGATTAAATAAGTTAGTACATGTAAAATGGATAGACAGCTCCAGACATGATAATAAATATACAGTGATTCCTGGCTATTAAAACTGACGGCTACAGCAAAGATTATTTTGAGCTCAGTATTCCTGTCATTGAATGTCATGTAGTGACTCAGTTTTCCCACTTGGATTCATATCATTATGAAACTTGGCTCTGTTATGGAGCTATGACATCTTTGGCATTTGTTGACAAGACTGCATCACTAACTTATTTGTCTGCCTCTGAGAGAAAATACCTATTTCTTTACAATGAGAAATGCAGTTACCCTATGGGCAAGTTTAGTTACGTGAGTACTCCCACTACCATCAGCAATCTCATACCTATTCTCTCTCTACCAGGAATTAACTAGAAAACTGAGTCTGAGAATTCACTGTGATGGTTCTAGAAATTCTGCAGTTCTTTCCCTTTGACAAATCTACCGGCCAGAAAACCAAGACATAATCAGAAGGTGGCTTGGTAGCATGAAATCACAGTCTATCAACTAGAAAACCCTGTATTCATTTCTACACTATATAGGTAGGATGACTAATCGTATTTAAGATCAGTCTTGGGAGATAAATAGAATTTTTTAAAAGGGAAAGGTATTCAGATGATGGGTATAGCTTGAGCCCAGGTATGAAGGTAAGAATATATGTTTTATGTCCCAGGATCAGTGAGTTGTGTGATTTAGCTAAAGCATAGGATGTATGAAAGGGTAATGAAAGATTAAACTGGAAAGGTAGGTTTCCAGTCCTTCATTTCCTGGAGGACTTTGCATACCAGAATGAGAAATCAGGCATGCACGCTTTCCTCCCCTGCTCCCAGTTTTGTGTTTGTTTTTGAGCAATAAAGTGGCATGAACACAATTATACTTCAGGAAGATTGATCTGGAGACGTAATGTTTGAATAGGTTAGAATGAGGGAGGACCCAGAGGAAAGTAAATTAGAGAGAAGGCGATCCCAGTAGTTCAACTAAGAGTATTCATAACCTAAAGAGAGGGGCAATAGAAAGAAAATAACATATGAGTAATGTTATTATGTTAGACTACAGGAGTTGCCAATATATTGTATGTAAAGATTGACAGAGAGAGTTTTTAAATATTACCAAAATTTTAGTCTGAAGGAATGGTAGTGTCAATAAGAAAGAAGTCAGGATAGTTTGGTTTTGTGGGAAATAAAAAAGAGGCTTTGGATATGTTGAGTTGGGGTCTTAACAGAATATGCCCCAGCTGGCAGAATAGGTACCCAGCAGGAAACCGGCAAATCCAGAAGTAGAAGTAGGGATGAAAATGTGGGAGTTGTCTAGCAGATTATAGTTGAAATTGTGAAAATTCACCATGGGAGAGAAGAGGACAAAGGACTATTGATACTGAGGAATATTTACTTACCTTAAGAAGGAAGGAAGGGATACAGAACAGTGCAAGAACTAAGAGATCCAAGTGTTCATAAGCTAAGACAAGAGAGAACTGCAAAAGGGAGGAGGTGGTCTGAACACTGAAAAAGGGCTATAGGATTTGGTGGTTGGAAGTTACTGCTGACCTGCAGGGGCAGCATGTTCTTCCCTGCCCCCCCCCCCCCCACACCTCATATACTAAGAACACAAGGAAATAGAGGGAGCGGATGGTGAGGAAGTGGAGACGGTGCATGAAACAGTTCTTTCAAAAAGATTGGCAAAGAAAGAGGAGAGAAAGAAGATGGGAAGAGGGTGATGGTGGGTTCCAAGGAATACTTGTGTGTGTGTGTGTTTTAATAGATGAGGGTAACTTTAGTTAAGAAGGAGCAGAGAACAATAATACTTAAGGAGTCAAGAGGGTAAGTGACTGCTTAAGTTCTGTCAGGAGGCTGGAAGGAACATGATCAAGAGCACTAGTAAATGGGTTAGCCTAGATAAAGGACTCTAATTCAGAAGTAAGGGGGAAGCAGCACTAAGAGAGATCAGGGAACTGAGGGGAAAGGAAAGAAAGTGGAGAGAAGTGTTTGTCAGAAGTTCTCAGTATTCTCAAGAAAGATAAGGCAAAGGAATCTGCTGAGAAGAGAGATGTGATTGGAGTTGGAGTTTGATGGTAGGAAAGGTCTTGGAACAGCTACCACTGCATATTTATTAGGGAGTTCACCAGATGAGAAGGGTTGTAAGGATGCAGCAGGAGCTAGTATGCGTCTGTGGTAGAGAATGTGACTGTGTATCTTTCTCTAGGAATATTAAACACACTGATGACAAGGAAAGTAAATGCAGTGTGTTGCCCAGGACTGGAAAGCTGGCAGAAGATCGTGGGGATGAGGGATTCTAATAGTTTTCCAAGTGCTTTTTTGAAATAATAGGAACTCCTAGATGTGTAAAATGCTTTGATGAGGATAAAGGGGGAATTCACAGAGGTATAGGAAGTATGAAGAAAGTAGAAATTGTTTTTTTTTAAGAATTTGAGATATTGGAGCTGTAGCATGCCTAATGTTGAAGTTGAAGGCTTATGCCAATTGGCGATTAGAATGGAATAGAGCAGGAATTCTTCACTTTGGAAAGGTAGACAGTTTATAAGGCCAAAGTGTTGATAGATTAATTCACAAGGATATTGGCAGGAAATAGCGTGGAGGGACAATTTTGAACCTCTTGGTGAAGGAAAACTGTGACAAGGAAGATGAGAAGGTTGAATAAGTCAGTGACTTGATCTTCAGCTGAGGAAAGAATAGCTGGTGAGTCAAGGTGGAGGAATAATCATGCAGAAGGAGCAGTAAAAGGCCAGGGCACTTTAGTCTTCCTTCCAGGATATAAAACCCCTATAGCCCTAGCTTCTACACTTACTATGACTTTAGGTAAATTACGTAGCCTTGCTAAGCTTCAGTTTTTTCATCTGTGAAAACAAGATAAAAATAGTGTCTACCTCATAGGATTATTGTGATTACTCAGTGAGATAATGTATGTAAAACATATAGCACAGAACCTACCAAATATATTAGATGTTCTTGCTGCCGTTGCTGACATGGACATGTATAAAAGATACGTAGATTTTGCATAAAGTACGCTATGCTGTGTCACTGATTGCAGCATAGAATAGATACCACTTGTGGCCAGTGTCACTCCTGACACTGAGCAGTGTTAATACCAGAGTCCTTCACATCTCTCACCTTTAAGTAGTAGGACTCACCTTCACCGAAACATTTTAGAAGTTTGTATCATCACAGAAATACGGTTTTTAGTAAATTTGAGGAGGATAGGGATATCCATGGAGTCAAGGGAAATTGTTCAAAAGAAAACAAGAACAATAGAAGGAGCTAGTAGATTTGTACCACATCAAACTAAATTGTGGAAGAGCTTGTATTTCTCAGAGTTGTATTTCTAGAGCTGAAGCTGGCCATGCCAGGGATTAGACATATAAAGGATAGAGTGATAACCTGGGAGACCATGTTAGCTGTAGGGAAGCAGGCTGATACTCGTGGAAGACATACAAATACAGTAACAGAATCCCAAGTGTCAAAACAGGGCAGGCAGTAGGAGCTCAGAAAAAGGAGAGATTCCTTTTGTTGTTGTTGTTGTTGTTGTAAACTTAGGTACTCTTCAGATGGCCCATGTAACCTCAGTTCTAGGAAAACATAGCTTCAAAAATGAAAAAAGTTACTCTGAGTTCTAAGTAAGTTTACCCCTTCTTCTAGCCCTTGGAATTTGCTCTGTAGGAGTTTGTTTTTTAAATCTTTGGTCACATGAAAGTAAATCTTTGACTTATGAGAGTTCACATTCTACGTCTCTTACTACTTTTCCTTGCTGTTTTTGGCAGGTAAACGGCCAAGACCTAAAGAACCTGCTGCACCAGGATGCTGTAGACCTCTTTCGTAATGCAGGCTATGCTGTGTCCCTGAGAGTGCAGCACAGGGTAGGTGTCATTTGCTGCCGCCAGGCTTTTGTAACGTTGTGAATAAACCATGTGGTGTAATTTTCAGTAGTGTGTTTGGCTTTTTTCCTTTCACTGTCATTCTTTTGAAAAACCTGTCTGGCACAGGCAGGGGTCTTCTGAGACTTCTGCTTATCATTAAAGGAAATTTATAACAGTATGTTTGCAACCCAGGTCCTGGCTTCAAGGTAATGTGCCCTAAAGATAAAGCTTGACAACCAAATTAAAATAAATGGGGAAAAATACAACCAGAATTAATTTTATTTCTTACTAGGGAAGGAAATATATGTCTGCCCTTGAACATTCTTATTTATGAAACTCTAAGTGCAACGATGGTGGGTTTTTTGATACCCACTATGTGCTTTTCCCTATCACCACAACGAACCCTTTTCTTATCAACTTGGGGATCCTCTTGACCAAAGTTCTAGTGCTCAAAGGGGAGCTCCAGGAAAAAGGAAATGGGATTCAGAATTCAGTCAAGTTAGCACCTATTCTACATCCATTCCTTAGTTCCTAGTGTTTTATAATTTGGATAATGAGAAGAGAAGCCTGAGTGGACATAATTCCTCCCATAGCACGAAGGACTTTGGAATGCATTTACAACACAGTTTAGTTGTACCTTTAAAGTTACTCCCTCTTGAACTGATGCTGTCTTTGCTTCATTAACTCCTGAGTGAGGCTTCAAAGTTCAACAGGAGATAGTTAAAAAAAAGTGGAGAGGGCAAGGCACGAAAGATATCTGAGAAAACAGCTGGGGTTGCAAGCAGAATCTCAGCGTGCTGGATTAGAAAACAGGTTGATAGGAGACATTGGTATTCAGCTGCTTCTGCCTTGGCTCTTCTTTGTTTCGAAAGCATGGGAGAATGTATGCAATAGGTAAAGGCAAGCAAATATAGGCATACGCTTTAGATACGATTAGAGTTCTTTTTGAAGGCATGTGAGAAGTGATTTCCAAGGTTCATTTTTTAGGAAACTTCCATAAATAACTCCAAACAAAACAGATTCTTCTGGTCAAGGAATTGGCCTAGCCCTAAAAACCATGTCTTTCTACTGAGTGTGTTCTCTCAGGACATCTCATCAGGAAATGAATGAAAGATGTAGAGGTGGGATAGAGGATAGAAAAGGTAGTTTGTTCAGTCTTGTCTTTCAGATTGAGGGCATCAGAGTTTCATGGATTGTAATGAGGAGATTAAATCTAATTAAAGATGGCATCACAGTTGCTGCCACTTACCTATTAAAAGTTAATGTTAATCTAATTCGGAAAGATACATGTACCCCAATGTTCATAGCACTATTTACAATAGCCAGGACATGGAAGCAACCTAAGTGTCCAGATGAATGGATAAAGAAGATGGGTGTGTGTGTGTGTGTGTGTGTGTGTATAATGGAATATTACTCAGCTGTAAAAAAAGAATGAAATATTGCCATTTGCAGGAACATGGATGGACTTAGAGATTATCATATTAAGTGAAGTAAGTCAGACAAAGACAAATACTGTATGATATCACTTATATGTGGAATCTTAAAAAGTGATACAAATGAACTTATTTATGAAACAGAAATAGACTCATAGACATAGAAAACAAACTTATGGTTACCAGAGGGGATAGTGGGGGCAGAGGGGGGAGAGATAAATTAGGAGTTTGGGATTAGCATATACACAGTACTATGTATAAAATAGATAAACAAGAACCTACTGTATAGCACAGGGAACTATATTCAATATCGTGTAATAACTATAATGGAAAAGAATCTGAAAAAGAATATGTATATAAGTGAATCGCCTTGCTGTACACCTGAAACTAACACAACATTGTAAATTAACTATACTTCAGTTTTAAAAAACGGTTTAAAAAAAAGGTAATGTTAAGAAAGGCTACCTTTTACAAAATTGATTGAAATAAAGAAAGACCACCAGCCTCAAAATGGAATGCTTAGGCAATGAAAAATTATAACTGTTAGGATATGATTTATTTTTACTTATTTACCTTTGAGTCTTTTACTTCCGTTCCATGTAGGTTTCACCTTTATCTTTGCCTAGTATTACAGAATAGGGGATGAAGGACAGGACCCCACCTTCGGAAGGAGTGGGTACCTTTTGGGAATTGGAAGTATTTCTAAATAATGGCATTGCACCTGTGTTAACATTGCTCAGATCTGCTCATATTGCACTCTGATGACTGATAATCTTTCTAGAAAGATGGACACACCCTGCCCCTGGCCAGTAATTTCCAGGCTCCCTATAGGATCAACAGGCTTCACCTCATATCTTCATTTTCCTGGTATGATACACATATAGCTTGGTGGAGACAGTACAGAAATAGAAAGAGGTTATCTCAGGGGTCCCTTTAGGTCAGTAGCACAGCAAGGTTAAATGCCTCCCCATCAGATTTATTTTGTTTCCAAAGAATTGGTGAGATTGTTGTATCAACTCAGGACAAACAGAGAGGACTCCTGTTCGATAGTGCTTGGGGGTTGCAGCTTTGGGTGGTATAGAGACTGTAGACCCAGGTAATGTGTCAACTTGGACATTTCAGTTGTGGTAAACACACATTGGTCACTACAGTTAACATTTTTCTTCCCCTTCCAGTTACAGGTGCAGAATGGGCCTCTAGGACATCACGGTGAAGGGGAGCCAAGTGGTATTCCCATAACTGTGGTGCTGGTGCCCGTGTTTGCCCTCATCATGGTAGCAGCCTGGGCCTTCATGAGATACCGGCAACGACTTTGAAAGGCTTGCTTTCTTCCAGTGCTCCCGGAGAAGAAGATACATTTCTCTCTTTCTCTCACCCTCCTCCCCTGCCATTCTCCCATAACTTTCCCTCTCTCTACATAGCCAACACACAATTTAAAGAGACTGCTACCCAACCAGAACCTTGCTGCTCAAAATCTCTAAATCCTCATACTCTGGTGGGAGAGTAAAGGCACTGTTTGAAGGAATGCTGAAAGAAGGACTTGCTTAGAACAAATGAAGAGTTATATATTTTACTAGGACCACCAATAGAAGTTCAGCTGCAACCCAGAGAGGGAGAGGTCCAGTCTTCCCATCACCATGCGTGATTCCTTTTTTCTTACCTGGCATGTGTCAAAGATCAGCTGTAATAAGAGGAAGAAAGGATTTTTCTCTTTAATGATCTTCATTGGGAAGTTTTTGTGTCCTTTATTTAATTTCTAACTACCTACTTGGGCACCTACTTTGTATCAAACAGAGGTGAATGAAGAGAGAATTTCTACTTTTTTAAGAAAGCAAAAAAAATACACACACACACACATACATACACATATTCATATATGATAGTATAATAGTGATGCCTTATGGAGAATTAAAGAGAAATAACTCTGGTTTCTGGGTTTCTGATGTAAGAATTAAGGGATAATCTTAATTGAAGAATTCGATACATAGCAGGAGTGAGAGAGTGAGCCTTAAGAGAGGATGCAGCTAATTAAAAATCTTAGAACAATATTTCTTCTCATAATAGCTGCGGTGAAGTTGAGGTAAAATGACATAATCCAGCTTTGTGCAAGTCAGTCTGTTTAAAAAACTCGGGAGATGTAAATATAAACCTTACTAATCTCTGGGCTACCCTAGTGACTGTTTTGGTACCTTACAGACCTGATAAAGGATCAGCTGGAATGACTGTGGTCAGAGCTATAACTATGACGATGGGGCCAAACCAACCCAGTGAAAAAACTCAGGCTATCTACCAGTCTTGTTCCGACTAACAGGCAAAATCTGAGAAAGGGACTGCTGCCAGCAGGATGGGCATGAAATCAGCTCTGCTTCAATTCAGTTAAGTTGAAAGGATTTGGATTGCTACTGTTTTTTGAAAGGTTCTGAACGCTGGTTATGGCTTTTAATGAATAAATCATTTTGCGGGGAAGGCTTAGAAAAGAGTTTTGTTTGTTTTAGCGGCTAGGGAAGTTTGGTGGATGTTTCAAGGAGAAGCCTTACGGATGAATGGATGTTAGGGAATACCAAGGAGATAAATGAGGTGGGAACCCTCCTGTTCGTGTGGTATTGAAGGTTGGTTTTAAAGCACTAAGGAGAGCTGAACCAAGGCTAATTTTCTGGCTTAAAGAAAATCATTTCCATCCTCTAAATATACTGGCCAGGCTATAGGCTTTATATAATCTTGACAGCAAGAGTATGAAGACTTTCCCTCAGGCAGTCAGTTGTGTCCAATTTTTAGCATGGACCATCTGCTAAGAATTTTATAAATGTTGATTGGACATCAGCTTTGTTATGACTTTTACAAAGAAGCAAAATACTTAGCCTCCATTCCTAAAAGGTTTTTTTTTTTTTGGTTCCAGTTGGGAATAGAACACCTTTACACATAAAATAATAAACAATTACCTCCATAGGCAAGGCAATGTAAGTTAGTGTCAAATTTATATTGCAAACCAAAGGGAACGGTTACTGAGAATAGAGGCACTTGAGAAAGTTGCATGGAGGAAGGGAACAAGTTAAGGACCCTTGAGGAGCTCACAGTCAAGAGAATTCATAAATAGATGAGAAGTTAAAAGTATATCATCAGGTTAAGTAATAGTTGAGAACAATAATAAAAAAAATGGTACTTTTCAGAGTATGATGCAGCTACAAAGACGTGCAGACACATTTTCTTTTTTTTTTTTTAGGAATTCAGAAAAAGAAAGCTGTCACGTAATGGCATCAGGCCAGAGTGGAAAGGGAAGGCTTTTAAAAATAAAAACCCCAGTTAAGACCTTGCCTCTGGGTCACCTATTGGTATAAGAAGAAACTTGCTGTAAACAATCCTAAGAGGATTTCTGCCTTCAGACCTGAACTGTTCAGTACCTCTGAGACTCACTTAGACAACTGCATTCAGTATTCCAGTTCTCACCTCAACCAGCCCCTCTGTGGAGGCACAACCTCAGGTGCCCTCCCTGTATCTGGAGGAATGTGCAGCAGCTTCTGCAGTGGGCCTGCTTTCCTCCCAGGATTCCTTTCGGGGTTTGGACATTAACTCCTGAGAGGACCTTGAGACATACAAAAGGAAGCAAATGGCAAGCAGGAAGGAAAGCTATTTTGTTTTTTGTTTGTTGGTATATGTAAATAAAAACACCTATCCCATCATTGGTAGAGGTTTTGCTTTGGTTGATAATAGGGATTCCAATGCACTTTAATAATTCAGGTTTTCTCTGGAATTAAATAGCATTTAAAGATCAATATAGTAAAGGTTTAGGCAAGTATGCTACTTCAATTATATTCTTATTTCTGATTCTCTAGAAAATTAAATTATTATCATAGATGAAGTATTGGAGTCCATTGTAGGTCATTAAAAAATGCATCCTATTTATAGATTGACTAACATTTCTATCACTTTATCGATGGTAGGTAATATTCTTCCCACCTAAATTACTATGTTCAAAGTTTTAAAAATTGAATGAAAATCTTTTTTAAGACATTTACTTAAAACACTTTGCTACATTTATCATCCTATATTATACATACAATTCTAATAAGACATTGTTTGCTTCAGTCGTCTCTCTTTTCCTGCCAAGTTTTAACCAATGCTATTGATTTAACTTAATCACACCATCTAGAATGTATAATAGAAAAAGGAAATTAATACCTGTTACTACATTCTGTGCCAGGTACTAAACTAAACCCTGATTGGTATCACTGTTTCTTCATGCCTCACAACTCTGAAGTCTAAGTATTGTTAAAAAGACACTAAAGAAAAGAGAATAAATTGTTCTACTAAGATTACATAGGTGGTAATAGTAGAATCAGGATTTAAACTCAGGACTTCAGGTGCCACCACCAATATTTCCTTACTGGCAGTGGTTCTCAAAGTGAGGTCTCTGGACAAAAACATCAGCACTACCTGGGAACTTGTTAGGAAAGCAAATTCTTGGGCTCTACCCTAGACCTACTGAATCAGAAATTGAGTAGGGCACCCAGCAATCTGTTTTAATACTCCCTCCAGGTGACTGATGCACATTAAAGTTTGAGAATCACTGCTCTATGCCAATAGTCACCTTTTTCTCAGGTTAGAATCACCCAGAGAGCTGATAAAAATTCTGATGCCCAGGCTGCACCTAGATCAGTTAAGCAGAATCTCTAGGGGTGGGAATAGGGCAGCAGTAGAACAGAGTTCATGTAATTCCAGTGTGCAGTGTCAGGAAAAACAAAAACAAAAACGCTCTGGCATTTAAACCTAGACACTATTTAAATTATTGAATTACATACGGGCATTGCTCCAGCCAAAAATGAGAATTGCACTTGGGCCTTTTTGGAGCCCAGCTCTCATTAGCTTTTGCCTCAAGTATAGATGTGGAATAAGAAGTGGAGCAGTATTTGGCTTCTGATTTGCTAAGGACTGACCAAACTCCAGCAAAATGTATTAGCGTGTCAGTGTGTGCCTCTATTAAATTAAAACCAAATCATAGAACATTGGAGCTAAAAGATTCTAGGATGAATCTGTCTTAAGGATGAGAAAATCAAGGTTCAGAGATGTGAACTAACTTAACCCAGATCAAAGACTTAGTCTGTGGCAGAGGTGCCCTTTCTGTCTCATATATATGTCTTGAATGTATCCACTATATGAACATAGACAAAGCTATCCTTTTTATCTCAGTCCACTTCCATCTTCTTTCTTTGGGCCTTGAATAAAGATCAGAAGAACTGACAGCTGAAGGGTATTGCAAGCATCATGCAGAATTGGGAGATTACACAGAGTAATCTGAGAAAGACCTTGTATCAAATTCAATCAGATGAGTTCTTCTGAGACTAATTCCAATAGTTCAAAACTAGAAAAGTATTTTTTTTACATTGGACATTGTTTTTGTTGTGTAGATAAGCAATTTTTAAAATATTTTTTAAAATGAAACATAAGGTTCTCAACTATGTGGGGGAGTAGAGTTCATGTAATTTCATGTGAAGACAATAAACATTTTATTATAACTATTTTAGTTGAAATTTATCTTTGGACAGATGAGAGTTTTTTTCCTCATTCAACAAATGAGTGCCTACTATGTGCTAGGTGCTGATAATATAAATTAAATATGGTCACTCTAAGCTGAAATAGCTCATTATCTGAAAGTGGGGGAGTATTTGTTGGTGATCTTGATGTTAAAGTATTTTTCTGATATCACCTAGAAATAGTAGATTGAGTTGTGAAGCTCTTTACCTCTCATTTATAATAGGTTTACAGTTGGTTGGTATCCTGGGGTAAGCCCCTTTTGCTGTTTCTGTTTTTATCTGCAAATCTTTTTGAGACAAGCACTCACATCCAAAAGGGCAATTGCTACCAAAAGGAAGACAGTATTTTAAGGAATTCTGTTCTGATCAGAACCAAGTCCTTAACAGCCATAGTCTCTTGCCTGATGTTGATATTTATAGAGAGACTCCAAAGCACTTGATCTGCTTACCTGATATACTTGACGATACTGTAATAACCTATATGATAAGAAAGCATTGTTGTGTCTAAAGAATCAAATTATAGCAACCACTAGGTCTTGTTTCTAAATGTTTTCCTTACTGTTCATATTCTCTTTCTTTTTGCAGGGGAAAGGGGGAAAGGGAGAGAGCTGAAATGTGGTTTCAAATGCAAGTCAATCATAAACAGAGTCATTTACAAAAGAACTTTGTATTTACTGTAATCATTAAATTGCTTGACCAGTCACAGGAAAATGGGTGATCCTTCCTACTTTGCAGATTTGCGAATGGAATCACAAAATTGAATCCCATTTTAATTCTGTATCGGCAATGCTGATTTGAATGAGTTTCTTATTACTGTTTTTGACGTTGAACGTTGTTTTTATTGTGTGAAATACATGCGCATTTTACCCCCAAGACATGTTAGTCTTTATAAGATTATTTTCCTTATGAACCTTATTTTATTTTGCTTCCTTTCTACTTTGATCCTAACGTCATATTGCATGCCTGGATCTAAAGAGCAGTCAGTTTCTCAGATCAAATAGATGCCCTATAGCAACTTGGAAGACATATGGAGATAAAACCATATTTTCTAAGGAATACCATTATAAATTAAATATGTTAATGATGCCATCAAAACAGATAATAATCTCTCTTAAGCTTTTCTATTTGATACCAGATACAGTACATGAAATAATAGTGTATCTAACTGTGCCTAACTTAGTATTGACATTCAACAAAAACTTGTTGCATTTGTCAGTAAATCTTTACAATCTTTTCCACCTTATTTTGGGGATTGTTGAATAAATATCTCCTTATTTAACCACCAACTTCCTGGGGCAACACTCTGACAGAGCAATGGAAAGAGAAAAGAAAGAAATCTAAATGATCAGTTTGAGGCTTAGCTTTGACATAGAAGATTAGGAGATAAGGATAAGGGCTCTATCATGTACTGCTGATAATAATTGGCTAACAATTATTAAGCTCTCATCAATTTATTTCTATCTTAATCTTATTTTAGCTACTGTGCTAAGCCCTTTACATGTGTTTATTTAAGCCTCACAACAACTCTGTAACTGCTGCTGTTATCCCCATTTTACAGATGAGATAAGCGTCAGACGTAGATTAATTTGCCTGAAGTACACAGCTATTAAGTGCCAGAGCTGGGATTTAAACTCAGGCGGTTTAGCTCCAGAACCTACATACATAACCATTACACTATGCTGTCTCTACTCTCCATGGTTCCAGGCACTACATTGGGCCATCCTTTTCCATAACTTATAAATGTCAGTGAATTCTCACTGCGAGTCAGTATCAATAATTCTATTTTTATAGATAGGGTAACTCAAGGCCTAAAGAAGTTAATAACTTGCTCAAGATAACATTGCTAATTAGCGCCAGACGTGGGAATTTCCTTCAAGCCAGTGAGGAGTCTCATTTCTCTTCCATCATTCCAGGAAATTAAAGTTTATTATACTGAATTTGGTTCAACCATGCTAGCATAGCCTTCCATTATGGATAATAGGGAATTGACTGCATTAGGTTAAATGTTCTACCACAATAGCAGTAGTAGTACCATTCGTTTTATACAAAGTTTGAAAACAATTACCAACATTTGCTATCTGACTTGTCTTCCCTCCATCCCCCAAAACCTTACAAGATACATAGAATACAGAAAGGGGTTTGTGCCACAGGATGTGAAAGGACTTGTCAGAACTGAATATTGACTTTTGCCCAAGTTACCTTGTATATAGCTGACTCTGATATGAAAAGTCATTATTGCTGCATCATATGACTTAAGCAAACACCAGACCTGGAGTCAAAGTGCTAGTGTCTAACTGTAATGTGTACAGAATGGCCATTTTCTCCCTTGATGGGCAAAGAAGGTATGTAAGTTATCAATTACATAACAAACCACTGCAAAACTTAATGGCTTAAATTTTTAAAAATTCTTTTCAAAGAGATTCTATGAATTGACTGTTTCTTCTGCTATCACCTAGAGTCACATGGAACAGCATTCATCTGATGGCAGGAGAACGGTAAGTAGTCCAAGATGGCCTCTCCCTCCTGTCTGGTACTTAGTGCTAGCTATAGCCAAGGGTGCCTTGCTTTTTCTCCACATGGCCTCTCATTTTCCAATAGACTAGATTGGGCTCTTCATAGCAGTGGAAGGGGGGGTTCTCAGGGAATTGTTCCAAGAAGGCAAGTCCCAATGTGGAAAGCGCTAGTCAAGCCTTTGTACTTGTCACACTTGCTGATGTTTTATTGGCCAGACCAGGCCATGGCCAAGCCTAGAGTCATTATCGGATGGGACCTAAACGCCACCTCTTGCTGGAAGCAGTGCAAAGAATTTGTGGTCATTTTTAATCCACAGAGGAAGAAACCCAACTTCAAACAGCGAAGACCAGGGTTCAGCAAATTTTTTCTCAAAGGACAAGATAGTAAATATTTTAGGCTTGCAGGCCTTGGGTCTTTGCAGTTTTGGTATGAAAGCAACCATAGACAATATATATATGCAAAAGGGTGTGGCTGTTTTCCAGTAAAACTTTATTTACAAAAACTGAGGTCCTGCTACACTATAGTTTGAGGACTGCTGCCAAAGACTATCGCAGGTTGAGATAGACTTCTAAGAGTGAAAACGAGAGAAGAAAGCTCCCAAATGTTGATCCCTTGGAGTCCCAAATTGAGGAGCATTGACACATTTCCTAGGAAAGGCTCTTTTTAAGAATCTCTTATCCTACAAGAAAGAGAAGCCAGGGAAAGTTCAATGAAAATTTCCCCTGCTGTAATTTTGGAAATGAATTGAAGAGTGACCATTGTCAGACTTCATGAAGCACCCATCATAGCCAGGATACCATCCAAAATTCAAGGATTTACATAAAAGTTATAACAATATTAAGAACTCACCAGGCACTTTATGGAAGTTATTTCATTCCATGCTTAAATAATGTTATTAGATTGAAATTATTACCCTATGATAAAGATGGAAAGATAGAACTTTGGAGTTGTGAAGTTAACTGTCTCTAGTTAATATCATTATTAATGTTAAAACCTAAACAGTCAAGGTTTGAAACCAGAACCAGAATATTTTCTGGCTCCTTATACTCCACCACATTGTCCTTGCCTTTTGAGTTTGGAGGAAAGTAATCTGTGTAGAAAAATAACTTACTGGAAAAATTATTTGGTACTAGTCACACACACACACACACACACACACACAATAGTGTCTCTTCAGATGCAGAAAAAAGATAGGGAATAAGAAAGGATTGGTAGTTTTCTCCTACCTGTTTTAAATATTGTGCATTAATAGAATACTTGAGGTATAGTAAGGCCAAAAGATCAGGAGAAAACCGACATTGAAAAGATAGTTTGTTACTCACAGTTTCCAAGAAAAGAGGACACACTGTGCCATGGGGGCCACACAGGGAAGCACTGATGCTGGTCACAAAGCAGAGGGAGAGGGAGGAACTGTGGGCAAGAGACTTTATTGTGGTTTCCATGAGAAGGAACAGACAAGGCCAGGTAAGCAGGCTTAGGATTGGCTAGTTTGAATAATGTCAATGGTCTCTGTGGCATAGGGGCTGTCCCTAGCTATCTGGTACCTGACCTTGGGGGTGATTAGGGCATGTGGATAATGGCCCTAAGTGTGAGAGCTGAGAAAGGAGGTAGTTGGAATGTGGGCTCTGGATTGTCTGGTTTGTATTTGAAAATTGCGCTCATGGGAGAGTTGTTTACTATCTCTAGAAATTGACTAACACTGGGAGGAGTAGTCCATTCAGGGTCAGGAAGGCCCCAGATGTCAAAGCATCAAAATACAGAAGATAAAAAACACTGGTTACACTGCCACTACTACTATAGTGGGATCTCTGTCCCTCTAATTTCTGCCTTTACTCCCAAACCTACAGAAATGACTGAGATAGCCAAAGGTAATCAGAACTATCTAGAAAATAGCCAAGAACAAGGAAGGAAGCAAAACAACAACAGAGGGTTCTGGTTCAAGATGACAACATAAGAAAACCCTGATCTCACTTCTTCTCACACACTGAGTCTACAGCTACCTACAGAACAATTTTCTCTTAAAAAAACCTAAAGACTGGCTAAGTGATGACCACATCAGGCAAACAAGAGGAAAACCACCTCAAACTGGGCGGGAGGCTGGGATACAATCTTGCCATAAACCCCATCCCCAGCACAGTGGCACACAACCCAGAGAAAACTCAAAACCTGAAGCTTCTCCCTGAGGAGCAAAGGGTTTTATTTCCACATCAGTAACCTCAACTTTTAGGACCTGCACCAGAGAGATGACCCCCAACATCTTTGAAAACTAACGGGACCCACAAGACTGTAGTAATCTGGGAGACATTTCTTAAAGGGCCCATGCACTGAGAAGAGCACCAGGGCTCAGCTCATCCATCAGCCAATCACACCCAGACTTAAAGTGAAAGAGGCTCGAAGATCAGGAACAAGACAAGGATGACCACTATCACCACTTTTATTCAACATAGTATTGGAAGTCCTAGCCACGGCAATGAGACAAGAAATAGAAACAAAAGGAATCCAAATTGAAGAAGTAAAGCTGTCATTGTTTGCAGATGACATGATACCATACATAGAAAATCCTAAAGACACCACTGGAAAACTACTAGAACTCATCAATGAATACAGTAAAGTTGTATAATACAAAATTAATATACAAAAATTTGTTGCATTTCAATACACTAACAAACTATCAGAGAAAATAAGAAAACAATCCCATTTACAATCACATGCAAAGAATGAAATACCTAGGATAAAATCTAACTAAGGAGGTAAAATGACTGTACTCGGAAAACTATAAGAAATTAATGAAAAAAATTGAAGACAATACAAACAAATGGAAAGATATACCATGCTCATGGATTGGAAAAATTAATATTGTTAAAATGAACTTACTACCCAGGGCAGTCTACAGATTCAGTGCAATCCTTATGAAAATACCAATAGCATTTTTCACAGAACTATAACAAATAATTCTGAAATTTCCATGGAAATACAAAAGACCCTAAATATCCAAAGCAATCTTGAGAGAGAACAAAGCTGGAAGTATCACACTTCCTGAATTCAAACTATACTACAAAACTACAGTGGTGAAAAACCCACATTTATACAGAAATTAACCTACAGCAAAGGAGGCAAGAAAATACAATGGGGAACAGATAACCTTTTTGGTAAATTGTGTCGGGAAAACTGGACAGGAACATAGAAAAGAATCAAACAGGACAACTTTCTCACCCCTTATGTATAAATAAACTCATAATGGATTAAAGACTCAAATGTAAGACCTGAAATCATAAAACATCTAGAAGGAAACAGAGTGCATTCTTTGACATTCTTCTTAGCAATATATTTTTGGATATGTCTCCTTTGGCAAAGGAAACAAAAGAAAACATAAACAAATGGAACCTAATCAAACTAAAAAGGTTTTGCACAGTGGCAGAAACTACTGACAAAGTGAAAAGGCCGCCTAATGAATGGGAACAGATATTTGCAAATGATATATCTGATGAGGGGTTAATATCCACAATATACAACTAAACATGAAAAGAAAAAAGAAAAAAAAACCAATAAGCTGATTAAAACATGGGCAGAGGACCTGAAGAGTTTCCAAAGAAGACATATAGATGGCCAACAGGCACATGAAAAGATGCTCAACATCACTAATCATTAGAGAAATGCAAATCAAAGATACAATGAGATACGACCTCACAACTTTCAGAATGGTTATTATCAAAAAGACAAGGAACAATGAGTGTCAGCGAAGATGTGGAGAAAAGGGAACCCTCATGCACTGTTGGTAGGAATGTAAATTGGTGCAGCCACTATGGAAAATAGTATGGAGATTTATCAAAAGCTAAAAGTAAAACTATCATATGATCCAGCAATTCCACACCTGGGTATATATAAGAAGAAAAGGAAAACACTAATTCAGAAGGCCAACAGCTGAAGTTTCTGTGGAAATGCTAGAGGCCAGAAGAGAGTGGCATCTGGCATCATATATTTAAAGTGTAGTAAACTTAAATGAGTATAATCTATAAATATATTGAATCACTGTGTTGTACACCTGAAAACAATATAATATTGTAAATCAACTATACTTCAGTTTAAAAATAAGACAAGAAATTACGTTTTTTCTCGTGGTGAATTCAGGCTGAGTTAAATCATACTTGTATCTTTTTGAATATTCCTGGGTGCACTGATTTTTAAAAAAATCCTCCAGTATTGCATACAACACATTTACACAGTGGTACATTCTTCTTTTCTAAATATTAATGTGTGTGTTAATATGATCCACAAGAGGATTAGTCAAGTGAGATAAGCTGTTCATGGTAACTTCCTTATTTTGAGTTGATTCAATTTACAAGCAGTTCTATGTAGAAATGATTTTTGAAAAGACAAGGAAAAGGAAGTATGAAACAGTGATGATCATGATAGTGATGCACTCTTCTGGAAAGAGCTAAAAAGAAGCTAAAGTCAGAATTTTTTTATAAATCAATTCTTTTGAGGTATAGTCAGCATACAATAAAATGCACAGATTTAAGGATGTGGCTTGATGAGTTTTGACTTGTAAGCACCATCCTGTCTTAGTCTGTTTGGACTGCTATAATAAAATACCTTAGACTCGGTGTCTTATAAACAAGAATACTTAATTTCTCACAGTTCTGAAGGCTAGTAAGTCCAAAATCAAGGCACCAGCAGATTTAGTGTCTGGTGAGAACCACTTCCTGGCTCATAGATGACTCCTTCTCACTGTAACCACACAGGGCAGAAGGGGTGAAGGATCTCTCTGAGTCCTCTTCTATAAAAGCACTAATCACCTTCCAAAGACCCCACCTGCTAATACCACCACCTTGGGGGTTAGGATTTAAAACGTTCATCTTGAGCACACCCCAATCAAGATTCAGAAGTTTCCCATCACTCCAGAAACTTCCCTCCATCCCTCCCTTCCCTCACATCACGAAAACAGTGATTTTATTTCTGTTCCCCTATATTATTTTTTGGACTATTCCAGAACTTCATACAAATGAAGTCCTGTATGAAGTTTCTTTGGTCTGATTTCTTTCTATCATAATATCTATGAGATAGATACATCCATGTTCTTACACATGTTGGAAACTTGTTCAGATTTACTTAGGATTATCGTACTAAATGAATATGCCAGTTTGCCATTCATCTATTCAGTACTGGTTGTTTTTTTCCAGTCTGTGGAATAAACTTGTGAATAATGCTGCTATAAATATCCACATACCACTGTGGGGAACGTCCTATGGCTGGAATCACTGAGATGTAGAGCAAGTATAAGTTTAACTTTATTAGAAATTATTATTATCCAGCCTACCTTTTCTACTCATGACACTATTTATTCTTTCGTTCCGTTAACTACCCCCAGCACATTCTATTTTTATAAAGTATGAGAGAATCTGATTCTTTCCTCAAAATTCTCACACAAAGAAGCTTCCATTCTCCTCTCCATTTCGTAATTTCTTAATTACAAATTGAAGCCTTGTCTCATTTTGGTTTCAGGAAAAAAATGTCAATCACTGTCTTAAAATTGCACGACACCCACTGATTCTTCCCCTGTGACTTCTCCAAGAGGCCGCGGGACCACTCAGCCCAAGCTATACACTCCATTTTTCCTAATTTCTCCCATGTTTCCTCCTCTCTAAGAGCCCTGTGCCAGGATCCCCAGGATCCCCAGGATCACTTAGCACAGCCCCTCCCCCTCATGAATACACCATTGTTATGTAAGAGCTTCCCCCTCCCTCCTCCACCTCTCTGGGGAGGCCCAGCCTCCAGCCTCTCTCTGCTCTCCTCAGGACTAGACTGCTGTTTAGCAGTTGCTGTTGCAGGGATAGTCTTGCCTGCCTCCCGCTGGAGTGGATTTCTTTGGTCACAGGCTTCTTCACTCATGGGGCCTGCCTGGGCCCAGGCCCACCTGGCAGGTGATCTCTGGCTGCCTCTGCTCTGGCTACTCCTGTTTCCGACCTGCTGCTCCCATGACCCCCCAGGTTGGCGCTTCACTTCCTCTGAAATTGTGATCCCCAGGAAGGTGTCCCACAGAGTGCGTGGAGCTGCAACACAAGGCCAGCTCTCCTACAAGTTTCGCTTCAGTGGCCAAAGACACGTGCTTCACATGAGAGTCAAGAAGAGCTTGCTGCCCAGGCATTTTCCTGTTAATCACCGATAACGACCAAGGTGCCATGCAGGAGGACTACCCTTTTATCCCCCGAGACTGTTACTACTTTAGCTACCTGGAAGGGGTTCCTGGGTCCATGGGCACACTGGACACCTGCTATGGGGGTCTGCGTGGCATGCTGCAGGTGGATGACTTCACTTAGGAAATCAAACCACTGGAGGCTTCTTCCAAATTTGAACATCTGATTTTTTTTTTAACATCTTCATTGGAGTATAATTGCTTTACAATGGTGTGTTAGTTTCTGCTTTATAAAAAAGTGAATCAGTTATACATATACATATGTTCCCGTATCTCTTCCCTCTTGCGTCTTCCTCCCTCCCACCCTTCCTATCCCACCCCTCTAGGTGGTCACAAATCACCAAGCTGATCTCCCTGTGCTATGCGGCTGCTTCCCACTAGCTATCTATTTTACGTTTGGTAGTGTATATATGTCCATGCCCCTCTCTCACTTTGTCACAGCTTACACTTCCCCCTCCCCATATCCTCAAGTCCATTCTCTAGTAGGTCTGTGTCTTTATTCCCGTCTTACCCCTAGGTTCTTCATGACCTTTTTTTTTTTCTTCCTAGATTCCATATATATGTGTTAGCATACGGTGTTTCTTTTTCTCTTTCTGCCTTGCTTCACTCTGTATGACAGTCTCTAGATCCATCCACGTTTCTACAAATGACCCAATTTCATTCCTTTTTATGGCTGAGTAATATTCCATTGTATATATGTACCACATCTTATTTATCCATTCATCTGTCCATGGGCATTTAGCTTGCTTCTATGTCCTGGCTATTGTAAATAGTGCTGCGCTGAACATTGGGGTGCATGTGTCTTTTTGAATTATGGTTTTCTCTGAGTATATGCCCAGTAGTGGGATTGCTGGGTCATATGGTAATTCTATTTTTAGTTTTTTAAGGAACCTCCATAGTGTTCTCCATAGTGGCTGTATCAACTTACCTTCCCACCAACAGTGCAAGAGCATGCCCTTTTCTGCACACCTTCTCCAGCATTTGTTGTTTGTACATTTTCTGATGATGCCCATTCTAACTGGTGTGAGGTGATACCTCATTGTAGTTTTGATTTACATTTCTCTAATAATTAGTGATGTTGAGCAGCTTTTCATGTGCTTCATGGCCATCTGTATATCTTCTTTGGAGAAGTGTCTATTTAGGTCTTCTGCCCATTTTTTGATTGGGTTATTTGTGTTTTTAACATTGAGCTGCATGAGCTGTTTATATATTTTAGAGATTAATCCTTTGTCCGTTGATTCATTTGCAAATATTTTCTCCCATTCTGAGGGTTGTCTTTTCATCTTGTTTATGGTTTCCTTAGCTTTACAAAAGCTTTTAAGTTTCATTAGGTACCATTTGTTTATTTTTGTTTTTATTTCCATTACTCTATGAGGTGGATCAAAAAAGATCTTGCTGTGATTTATGTCAACGAGTGTTCTTCCTATGTTTTCCTCTAAGAGTTTTATAGTGTCCACTCTTACATTTAGGTCTCAAATCCATTTTGAGTTTATTTTTGTGTATGGTGTTAGGGAGTATTCTAATTTCATTATTTTACATGTAGCTCTCCAGTTTTCCCAGCACCACTTGTTAACGAGACTGTCTTTTCTTCATTGTATATCCTTGCCTCCTTTTTCATAGATTAGTTGACCATAGGTGTGTGGATTTATCTTTGGGCTTTCTGTCCTGTTCTGTATCTATATTTCTGTCTTTGTGCCAGTACCATATTGTCTTGATTACTGTAGCTTTGTAGTATAGTCTGAAGTCAGGGAGTCTGATTCCTCCAGGTCCATTGTTTTTCCCTCAAGACTGCTTTGGCTATTCGGGGTCTTTAGTATCTCCATACAAATTTTAAGATTTTTTGTTCTAGTTCTGTAAAAAATGTCATTGGTAATTTGATAGGGATTGCACTGAATCTGTAGATTGCTTTGGGTGGTATAGTCACTTTCACAATATTGATTCTTCCAATCCAAGAACATGGTATATCTCTCCATCTGTTGGTATCATCTTTAATTTCTTTCATCAGTGTTTATAGTTTTGTGCATACAGGTCTTTTGTCTCCCTAGGTAGGTTTATTCCTAGGTATTTTATTCTTTTTGTTGCAATGGTAAATGGGAGTATTTCCTTAATTTCTCTTTCAGAGTTTTCATCATTAGTGTATAGGAATGCAAGAGATTTCTGTGCGTTAATTTTGTATCCCACAACGTTACCAAATTCATTGATTAGATCTAGTAGTTTTCTGGTGGCATCTTTAGGATTCTCTGTGTATAGTATCATGTCATCTGCAAATAGTGACAGTTTTACTTCTTCTTTTCCAATTTGAATTCCTTTTATTTCTTTTCCTTCTCTGATCGCTGTGGCTACGACTTCCAAAACTATGTTGAATTATATTGGTGAGAGTGGACATCCTTGTCCTGTTCCTGATCTTAGAGTAAATGCATTCAGTTTTTCACCATTGAGAATGATGTTTGCTGTGGGTTTGTCATATATGGTCTTTATTGTGTTGAGGTAGGTTCTCACTATGTCCACTTTCTGGAGAGTGTTTAGCATAAATAGGTGTTAAGTTTTGTCAAAAGGTTTTTCTGCATCTGTTGAGACGATCATATGGTTTTTATTTTTCAATTTATTAATATGATGTATCACATTGATTGATTTGCGTATATTGTAGAATCCTTGCATCCCTGGGATAAATCCCACTTGATCATGATGTATGATCCTTTTAATATGTTGTTGGATTCTGTTTGCTAGTATTTTGTTGAGGATATTTGCATCTACATTCATCACTGATATTGGTCTGTAATTTTCTTTATTTTTTAGTATCCTTGTCTGGTTTTGGGATCAGGGTGATGGTGGCATCATAGAATGAGTTTGGGAGTGTTACTTCCTCTGCAATTTTTGGAAGAGTTTGAGAAGGATGGGTGTTAGCTCTTCTCTAAATTTTTGAAAGAATTCACCTGTGAAGCCATCTGGTCCTGGACTTTTGTTTGTCAGAAGATTTTTAATCACAGTTTCAATTTCCTTACTTGTGATTGGGGTGTTCATATTTTCTATTTCTTCCTGGTTCAGTCTTGGTAGGTTATACCTTTTTAAGAATTTGTCCATTTCTTCCAGGTTGTCCATTTTATTGGCATAGAGTTGCTTGTAGTAGTCTTTTAGGATAATTTGTATTTCTGCCATGTCTGTTGTAACTTCTCCTTTTTCATTTCTAATTTTATTAATTTGTGCTCTCTCCCTCTTTTTTTTTTTTTGTTTTTGCGGTACGCGGGCCTCTCACTGTTGTGGCCTCTCCCGTTGCGGAGCACAGGCTCCAGACGCGCAGGCTCAGCGGCCGTGGCTCACGGGCCCAGCCGCTCTGCGGCATGTGGGATCTTCCCGGACTGGGGCACGAACCCGTGTCCCCTGCATCAGCAGGCGAACACCACTGCACCACTAGGGAACCACTGCGCCTCCCTCTTTTTCTTGATGAGTCTGGCTAATGGTTTATCAATTTTGTTTATCTTCTCAAAGAACCAACTTTTAGTTTTATTGATCTTTGCTATTGTTTTCTTTGTTTCTATTTCATTTATTTCTGCTCTGATCTTTATGATTCCCTTCCTTCTAGTAATTTTGGATTTTGTTTGTTCTTCTTTCTCTACTTCCTGTAGGTGTAAGGTTAAATTCTTTATTTGAGATTTTTCTTGTTTCTTGAGGTAGGCTTGTATTGCTATAAACTTCCCTCTTAGAATTGTTTTTGCTGCATCCCATAGGTTTTGGATTGTTGTGTTTTCATTGTCACTTGTCTCTAGGTATTTTTTTATTTCCTCTTTGATTTCAGTGATCTCTTGCTTATTTAGTAATATATTGTTTAGCCTCCATGTGTTGTTGTTTTTTTTTTTACTTTTTTTCTCTGTAATTGATTTCTAATCTCATAGCATTGTTGTCAGAAAAGATGCTTGAGATGATTTCAATTTTCTTAAATTTACTGAGGTTTGATTTGTGACCTAAGATGTGATCTATCCTGGAGAATGTTCCGTATGCACTTGAGAAGAAAGTGTAATCTGCTGTTTTTGGATGGACTGTCCTATAAATATCAATTAAATCTATCTGGTGTATTGTGTCATTTAAAGCTTGTGTTTCTATATAATTTTCTGTTTGGATGACCTGTCCCTAATTGTAAATGAGGTGTTAAAGTCCCCCAGTATTATTATGTTACTGTCGATTTCCTCTTTCATAGCTGTTAGCAGTTGCCTTATATATTGAGGTGCTCCTATGTTGAGTGCATATATATTTGTTATTGTTATATCTTCTTCTTGCATTGATCCCTTGATCATTATGTAGTGTCCTTCCTTGTCTCTTGTAACATTCTTTATTTTAAAGTCTATTTTATCTGATATGAGTATTGCTACTCCAGCTTTCTTTTGATTTCCATTTGCATGGAATATCTTTTTCCATCCCCTCACCTTCAGTCTGTATGAGGCCCTAGGTGTGAAGTGGGTCTCTTGTTGACAGCGTATATATATGGGTCTTGTTTTTGTATCCATTCAGTGAGCTTGTGTCTTTTGGTTGGAGCATTTAATCTATTCACGTTTAAGGTGATTATCGATATGTATGTTTCTATTACCATTTTCTTAACTGTTATGCATTTGTTTTTGTAGGTCCTTTTCTTCTCTTGTGTTTCCCACTTAGAGAAGTTCCTTTAGCATTTGTTGTAGAGCTGGTTTGGTGGTGCTGAATTCTCTTAGCTTTTGCTTGTCTGTAAAGCTTTTGATTTCTCCATCGAATCTGAATGAGATCCTTGCGGGGTAGAGTAATCTTGGTTGTAGGTTCTTCCCTTTCATCACTTTAAATATGTCATGCCACTCCCTTCTGGCTTGTAGAGTTTCTGCTGAGAAAACATCTGTTAACCTTATGGGAATTGCCTTGTATGTTGTTTGTCCTTTTTCCCTTGTTGCTCTCAATATTTTTTCTTTGTCTTTAATTTTTGTCACTTTGATTACTATGTGTCTCAGTGTGTTCCTCCTTGGGTTTATCCTGCCTGGGACTCTGCACTTCCTGGACTTGGGTGGCTATTTCCTTTCCCATGTTAGGGAAATTTTCCACTATAATCTCTTCAAATATTTTCTCATGTCCTTTCTCTTTCTCTTCTCCTTCTGGGACCCCTATAATGCGAATATTGTTGTGTTTACTGTTGTCCCAGAGGTCTCTTAGGCTGTCTTCATTTCTTTTCATTCTTTTTTCTTTATTGTGTTCCACGGCAGTGAATTCCACCATTCTGTCTTCCAGGTCACTTATCCGTTCTT